GACAGATCAAAACCACCAACTGGTGGAAAACAGAAGTGCACTGACCGACGATCATCTTGATATCATAAGCAGCTTGAGAATGAATGTGAAGAACTGAGAATAATGCCCTTGAGGGTGCCATCGATGGCAAACGCGGTGGAAGCTATCCAATATAAAAAACCCCCCCCCCCCCCCCTCCTCCCATGAGGGCTGGAGCATTTATCTAGTACCTTAAGAAGTATTATGCATATCATCACAACCACATTCATGGCACGGAGGAATGCTGACACTTCCAGAGTCTGGTGCAGGAGTTTATTAGAGCAGGGAACCTAACGGAGTTTGTGGCACCCGAAGTGGTGAAATAGAGACATGGGAAAGCTCCAGTTGAAGAAATTCCATATGAATCCATAAAGGCTAAAACCATTCAAATTGTTGAATACTTTTGTTGTGAGATATGTACTTCCTGGCATAGAAATGAAACACAAAGAACACAAACAAATACAGATCGTTTACCTGGTTCGATCCAACTGGATCTATGTCCACGGGAGGGAATCAATCAAATATTTCACTAAGGCAAAAAAAATGGAGAATACATAGCTTATACATAGAGATGAGCCCTCATCTTGTTTCTATGGCCTCCCTCTTAAGCGACACCTTGATACAAGGCCTCAAGATCCTCCCCTCCTCTCTAGCTCTCTAGCTATTCTCTCCTCCTTTGTGGTAGCTTAAGATCTCTTCCCTTGCTCTCCTAAGCCTCAAACCCTCTCTATTTATAGAAGCAAGAGAGTGGTAGGTGGGAGGTAGGTGAGTGATAGGTGAGATGTGGTAGGTGAGCGGTACCACATTTATCTTAGTTCAATAATTGTGGGTCAAAATAACAACTTTCTTACTATCTCAGGAGGACTTGCAACACCCCGAAAGCTTGTCAACCAAAAGTAGTCATGGAGAGGGGACCTATGTGTGGTAACCATCATTCCCAAGTATAACACTCATTTGTGACTTATCTTCAACAATGCCTATCTATCCCCCACAGGAAACCCTTACAATGACGCCATCATCATCACTTCCTTGGTCACTTATTATAGATCAATAGTATTTTGGTTGACATGGGCAACTCAGTCAACATTTGCTCAAAATAGTGTTAAGAAAATGACTTTTTTGACCGACCATTTAGAAGCACTAGCCAGACAACTCTTTGGGTTCTCAGTGGAAAAAAAAAGCAGGCTCTCAGAGTGGTAAAATTAATGGTCACCTTGAGAGGGAGTGATAAGTAGTTTACACATGTGGAGATCTTCCTATTGGTAGATTTGCCACCGACGTATAATGCAATTTTTGGTCGTCCACTACTAAACAACTACTGGGTCATGGTATCCACATACCACATGATAGTGAGAATTTACAAGTGGCAATGTAGCAATCACATTGCGGAGAAATTTGGAGTTGTATCAGAAGTACTATCTTCAGATACTCGATAGTGTGGAGTATGCACCACTCAATTTTCAAAATTGAATGGAAGGAGCTCTTGAGACCAATGAGAACATCCTTGAAGTATAGGAAACTAAATGACAACTCAAAAAGTGTTCCCTAATTGGTGAAGCATTTAATATAAGGCTTAAAACTCATTGATCGACACTCTATGGAAGCATCAAAAAGTCTTTAATTGATCAGTAGCTGAGATGCTTGACATACATTGGGACATGGCCTACCACCATTTGAAAAGCAATATAACCGCTCAACACATCAAGCAAAATATCATATTTTGGCAATGACACTCATGAGACCAATCAAGGAGAAGGTGGAAATGCTCAAGGAAGCTAGCTACATCCGGGAGGTGCAAATCCTGCTTCTTCAATGTGGTCATGTTATAGAAGTCCAATGATAAGTAAAAGATGTGCATCAACTATACCAACCTGAACTGTGCTTGCCTAAAAGACAATTGTTGCTACCAAAGATCAATGCACCAGTGAACTCAATAGTCGGATATTCAGTGACGAGCTTTCTATATGCTTTCTCTAACTACCATCAGATCAATATGCCACCTGACAGACACTAAAAAGACTTCATTAAATACTAGTTAGGAAGTGTTTTGTTAAAATATAATGCCTCATGAGATTAAAAAAGATACTGCCACATGGTAGTGCCTCATGGAAGTAACTTTTTCTAATAAAAAAGAAAATAAATTTGATGAGTGTGTTGATGATGTGTTATTCTTGAGTCAGTTGGTCGAAAAACATATAACCAACTTAACAGAAATAATCAAAACACTTAAAAAATTTAACATGAGATTAAATCCACTTAACTGTACATTGAAAGCCACTATAGAAAAATTCCTTGGTTACTTTTTGACTTTGGGGGTTATCAAAGACAGTCACAAAAAGGTATAGAAATTGTTTAACATGCCTTCTCACTAAAACAACAAAGAAGTTAAACGGTTCACCGATCGAATAATTTGAATTAGCCAATTCATCTCAAAAGTAGAAAATAAAATGCATAAAAATCTTCAAAAAGCTTGGAAAGATTAAAAATTTTGAATGGATGATTGATTTTGAGGAGGCGACTGCCAATAGGATGTCTTATGACCTATCTAGTGATTTGGCATAACAATCATAAAAATTTTCTTATCCTTTCCTCTGACATATGACGACTGACGATAGGATGTCCTATGAGCTATCTAATGATTTGGCATATGTTATGTTGGCGGCTCTGCAATGCCCATGACAACATCTGGGTGCCAGTCAGAAGAAGACATTTGATTTTCTTAAAAATAAAATGGAGGCATTTGCTTATTGGTTGATGTGGAGTGTTAGACGTCTTCACACTAGCACAACGACACCCAACTACTTTTTAGTCCTTCAAACGGGGTGTCCTTTTGTTGCACAAGTGTTGGAGTTTTTGTAAATTTTGAATTCATCGGATGCATTTATAATATTCCAAAGCTTTAGTTATGATTTTCTCTTGTGCTTCCACCTCAGCAACATCTATATTGAATGTATTATATAGCTAACATTTATTGCAAAAAATTATGTGTACTCTCTCTGAATCATCCTTATTCTCGCAACTTGATTTCTTTTATTGCTTACCAATGACTCAAGAGAATCAGATGATGGATGGTTGTGCAGCACTTCTTTCAGCACACATCCCAAAGCTTCATTAGTAATCTCTGTCATCTGCTCATTTAAATCATTTATTTGCTACACAACAAACTCCCTAGAGGAGTCCATGTTGATTGAATATTCGTTATGGCTTGGCTCTTACTGAACAAATCCTCTAATTTGTGGCATGATCAATTTTCACATTCTAAAAAGAATATTGGATCTTCCAATGTTCAGGAATTATGCCGCCACAAAAAACAAAAACAAAACAAAACAAGAAAACAAAAACATGTGAAGGGATATAGACCGGAAGGGAATCATAGAAATTCTCATGATTTTTACAGATCTTAATCGATGATTACAAAAGGTTTCAGCTCATCCATGGAATTCTTTTCTAAATAGTTCTCTTTGAAAAGCCCTCGTATACCTCATGGCAATCAATTCTATTTATAGGTTGAACTGGCCCAATGTATGTTGCATATAATGCTATTCAACAAATAAAAAATATATTATACAAGATAAATAATAAATTATAGAACAAAGAAGCCAAATATGTACCTTGTGTCTTTTAAATCTATTTGATCCTTAGTTGCATTTAAGAAGTCAATCTAAATTGCTAGGGGGAGCTCAACCCCGTATATGGTTCGATAGACTGGTCAACTGGACTTTTCAATCTACTTGAATGAGCTTTCTATTCAAAGTGAGTGATTGATCTGTCTAGCTCAGATATTGCGTTGAAGTGGCTAGTAAATCTGGTTGGCTAACCCATATAACATGATCTAAATCTAGCTTAAGGGGTTTTGGTCATACACTTTGAGACAAGAAAAACCAACGAAGGATAAAGACGGTATAGAGAAGAGGGAAGATCCCTTGTTATATTTTTGGCTCTTAATAAAATTATTGCATGGGTTTCAACCCTTCCAATGATGTTAATCCAAAAAAATTCTCACTAAAGGGCCCTCGTATGGCTTATGGCAACCATCACTATTTGTAAGTTGAGCTTGACCGTAATGCGCAACATACAACATCAGGTATTAAATAAAATACAAAAAGAATTAGTCAAAAGTGTGGCCTATATCATGTCAACCTATTTAGTCCTTGAGCAAGGAGGACTCGCCCTCGAAAATGTTGTTGAGAAGTGATTGAATTGATTTGTCGATCTGCCTGATTGCCCTGACTGGCCACTGTCCTTGCACTCAATTTAAAAGATTTTGGCTTTACAGAAATGGAACTAATTCTACTTTGTTTGGAAGGGTTGATAGAAAGTGGAAAGAGAATTAATTTAGAATGTTGATTAATTAATTCAGTCCCTTGCCACATTACGTGAAACTATTACTGGTTAAGAGGTCAAGATTTTCTGGTAAGTTGTGTAGTCCTCGCTACGAAGAAAGGAAAACAATTCATAGGCTTAAATAGAACCACCTCAAAGTTGACGGTGGGCAAACGGTCGACCTTCCATGCTTGCTGGAACCACAAGCAAAGCATCAAAAACTGCACTTGTAGTATGGCCAAGGCAGAGCAGAAAGTCCAGCGGAGGCCAACTGCAGAGCAGATCAGTAATCCTCAATCTGTTTGATGTAATGTAGGCATAAGAAAGATCATGTTCAAGCATTTTCAACAAGTTCCATAGACTTTCATGCTTGCATAATTTATATGAAGACCAAAAGTTGCCAATGGCAAATTTCTCGTAAGTCTAGTGCTGGAGCTTATTGTACAGAGTGGCTTATTGGTGCATTTCGGTAGTGTATGCCCTTGATATGTTTCCCTCCATTTAATCTTGGAGAGAAACGGTGATTTCTGGTTACTGGCGCCGTTCAAGTTCCCATCACATCAGCTTAGTTTCTTATGGCTAGTGTGATAAAAGACTGCTTGATGACAATCAATAGAAGATGGAAATGAGTTTAAATAGAGAAATCAACTAGAAAACCATTTTGAACATAATCTCTTCCCCCGCATCATATGATGTTACCATTCAGAGAGAAAAAACAACAAATGAAATAAATTAATTATCTAGTCCATAAAAAATTGTTCACATTTTTTTTTACATTTCAGTTATATCTATACTTGTTGAGATAGAAGAACCAATAGTCCTTGTGGACCTACTAATATTTCATTCAAGAAGCTGACCAGACCAAACCAGACAACAGGAGTGACATCAACACCACCAAGGGGTGGTATCACCTTCCTTGTTAAGACTAGGAATGGTTCTGTGGGTGCGTAGGCAATAACATAAGGGAGCTTGCCTACTGGGAGTTTTGGATACCAGGACATGACTATTCTGAGGACGAACAGCAAGCCAAATGATGATAGAAAAGTGTTTGTGATCTCAATCAACAATTTTGCAGTTTGTGGATCCACGTCTGCCACCATTAAGCTTTCTGTGTGGCTTGAAACAAATCTCTGCATGGTCTCAGATAGAACCCGGATGGCTTCCATGTTACTAAGTACACTATGTGAAATTGATGGAGTAACCTGAACTTGATGAATACAACAAGCGACCGTAGTATGTTTCAAACAACATGAAGGGTGGGGGAGTAGGAGTTCGTTTACTTCTTTTCGGCATTTCTGCATGATAGGCATAATATTTCAGACAAGCATCACACAAAAATGTTTAGAAAAAAGACTTGCATGTACGAGATCTTTAGTAGCAAGTAAACCTCTCATATGCTTAACGTACATGGTTTTCATCATAAAAGAGAAAATTGGAGCTGCTATAGTAATTAACAATCTTTAAATGCACACAACAATAAGATATTTACGAATTTCCAACTGGTTTTAATACTCACACATCATTAAGAATCTGAAAAATATGTTACTGTAAAGAGTCGAATTATACATCAAGCCCAAGTGATTTAAATTTTTCTGACAAAATAATACTTGGACATTGGACATAATTTCCTAATGAAATTTCAATAAAAAATTAAGTTTTCTAAAAAATTATAAATTTGCCTAAGAAAGAACCATGGGACATACTGTCAGTCAAAAATGATCATGATAGGGACTAGAACATACACCTGTAAACGTAAAGATTACAGACATAAATTATATATTAACAGTCAATGCTTCATGTAAAAATTATATATTCTCCAATTGTCTACAAGAATGTTATATCATTCATATCTTTTTTGTGGTAGAAAATACAACACATGCTAACTTCTATTAATCATGAGTGGTTACTTCAGCAATGAATTTACATACATAGCACCCAATTCCTATGCATTTACTTATCCCGCACCCAAACTTTGATTGTTAAAAGCTAAGCACCTTTTCCTATGTATAAAAAGATGCATGAAAAGGTGAATTCACTATTTACATAGGTAGGGTGTTTTGGATGTAAAAATCAAAGTTTGGGTGTGAGATAAGTAATTGTATAAGAATAGGGTGCTATGTAAATTCCCTAAAAAATTAATCTACTTGATTGAGTAATATTACCTTTGAGTTCAGCAGTGTAGGTTAGAGATACAATTGACTGCACGAAACTTCATAAAAATGGCATTCATGTGGTAAATGGTAATCTATCAGTTTTACTGAAAAAATGGATGATCAACAAACCAACCCATCACACTTTAAAGAGTCAAATAGCAATATAAGGAATCATATCATGAAGGCTTATGCTGCCGGAGCTTATCTATTACACACTGATCTCATGTGCTCAACTTTATAATCATGATTTTAATGATTACAAATATAATTAGTTATAAGCTAATATAGTTAGTCAAGTGTGGTATAAGTATAGCCAAATTACTTGGCTTTAATTTACAAATAAAAATTAAGGGCATCCTGGACTATATTAATGGCTCACAGATGAAGTAGCTTGCTTAATAAGTTCGAGTTATCCCAAGTTCTATCAAAATTAAGCTTTGAAGTGCAAAAAAATTTTACTTATCTTTTAAATCATAGGTTTTTGTACTCGGACTCTCTAAGTTTATACCAAATAATAGTTTTTACCTCAAAAAAATAATTTATTTGAAGATTCTTAAAAAACAAAACCGTTGGTTGTACCATAACATTCAATTGGTATTACAGACCTACATTATTCAATGATCTAAAACCTCAAAGAAGATTCAAACATTCAATTGGTATTATAGACAGTACATTGTTCAATGGTCTAAAACCTCAAAGAAGATTCTTGCGAAATAATTTGAAAACAATAAAGTCACACAACAGTATTCTATTACCCGACTTCTATTGTTCGATGATTTATCCTTTGAGCTTTGAAAAGTTAGAATGTCTGCTATTTATTCAATCAATCGACAAATGCAAATGGAATTGATATAAGTAGGCTATCCTAACACAAGATTATTCATGAATAATAATTTTGTTGATATCACATTTAGTGAGTGGACACAATGAAAAAAAAGATAGCACAACCAAACTCAAAATTTAAAACTGGTTTCCTCTATGTGCTCAAACTTGCTAGTTAGATGCATGTTTCTGTATGCAAAACTGGCAAAGAATTTAAAATAATATGAATGTACGAATGAAATGAAGCAATATCATATTAGTGTCATGGTTCATGATTACGAACATTTATGCAGGAAACCTAATGAAATGATTACTGACGTTTACAATAGATTCAGCCAGAGAACTAATGCTTTATATTGATGACAAAATGCTAAAAAAAAAAATCCTTAAATATTAGCAGCTTGGAATGCTTCTGTTACTACATTTCTAAAACTAACGAATTATAAAATTATTCTTTTGATCATCTATTTATCACTCTTATTGCTTACAAACAAAAAATTAGAGCAAAGAATTGAAAATAATGTATGAAAAAAAAGAAGCAAATAGTCCTAAGAATTCAAAAAATATAAAGTGTGAGTGAATTAATAAGTGAATAGGATTTGGCGCCACCACCACAACAACAACAACAAGCCTTAATCTTGCTAAGTGGTGTTGGCTACATTAATACTTTTCTCCATTGCATCCTATTGAATGTCATATTTTCATTTAATTCTAACATATTAAGGTTATTTTTTATACAAAGGATTTGGCATCGATTATCATAAATTATAACTTTATTTTCAAAGTTGGAATAAATGATAGGAAGGATAGGGACAAAAAAATCACTAAATAATATTAATATTGATATCATGTTATTTAAACGTGAAAATTCACAGCAAAATAAGAGATTGTCCCTAAAAATAAAAACAAAAATCATGTGAAAAAACTAAGGGTCCGTTCGGGACAGTTTATAACTGTGGACAGCTTTTTGAAAACTCCATCATACCGCTTGTTTCGCGGGTTTTGCGGGTTTCGCCAACTTATCCAAAAATGACATTTTCTATTTGTTAAACACGCGGCATGCAAGATGATCCCTGCGGGCCGCGTTCGTTCGCATCTTAATACTCCCATGCCCTCGTTCTCATCTCCCTTCCTCTCGATCACATCTTCTGCCCTAGCCGCTCCTCCCTCTTCTTTGGCAATCTTTCTCGAACCCCTTCTTTTCTTCAATATTTCTTCTTCTTCTTCTTTGGCATTATCATTCGGATCTCTCTTTTTTTTTTTTTGTTGAAGTGCAAATCACAGTTCTTCTTCGCCAAAGAGAACAACATCCATGTCGTTATATCCTGAAGGTAGTTGCGATGATGAAATCTGCTCTCTTCTTATAGTAATTACGTTTGCCTTTATAATTTCTTCTAATAAATTTAAGATAATGTTTACTATGGTGATTACGTTGGCAATATCACTGTTGTATAAATTTAAGACAAAAGCAGCAAAACTGATATTGTATTTCCTTCAGGATTTGCAATTGTGATTTCTATAACTTGACCATTCATTTGATTAAGATTATTTCAGTTTAGTTTAAGAAATGATCTTTTAAAATCATATGGCAAAGTTTCGATTTATGAACTTTCTCTGCAGTCCACAATTTTGTGGAATGCTTTCAGTTAGTGAACAAATTGAATAATGACATTTTTGCTCACAATTTATTTAAGTATGGCTTCAATAAAAGAAGGGGTTTCTCAATTCCGATAGAAACATGACCTTGTCACTGATTTTCTCTTTCTATTCAAAATGATTGGCATCATGGGTCATAGTCACAATTTAAATTTCTTCTTCTAAATGATGTGTCCTCAGTCCTGTAATTATTAATAGGAGCACATAGCATCAGATGGGACATGGTTCATTTATTGATAGGGTTGATATGTCCAAGCAATTGCTTTTCACAGCTGAAATTGTTGCAAGGCATGAGGGTTAGTCGGTAATGGAGCTTTTGGCAGTTCATGATTGGGGGAGATAGAGAAGACAAGCAGCTTCTTATAATAGATTTGGAAAACAATGTGGCTATAAGTGTTGTGCACTTTATCATCTTTAAGTACTGCAAAGAGTGAGCTTGTGTCTATCTCATAGCAAGCATGGCACAATTATGTGCGAGATGAAGATTCAAGACTGTGATGCATTTGTTCTCTTCAGGGCTATAATGTGTGAGAGTTTGAGCTGTTATACATGCTCAGTTTTGGACGTCTTTTTACAAATTCGAGCAAGTTTCTGAAATTTTGAATAACTATTGAGAGAACATAATATTTAGAAGAATTAAATGATTTGTTTAATTGTATGACCACCGTGGAGCCTAGCATTTTGTGGTCTTTAAGATCAGCTAAGAACAAAGTTCTGCAGTAAAAAGATTGAAAATCCAAGGCATGGTTGATGGATTTTTAAACCACTACCTTGTGCCATATTATGTCATATGAATTTAATGATTTGTCTTAGATCTGGTGTCTGCGTCATTCAATTTAGAACTGTTTTTTACTTTTAAAGTTAAAGTGGAGGTATTTTTGGTGTGAAATGAAAGATTTGAATGTGAATGGTATAAATGTAAAAAGTAAATTTAGGTGTTAGATTTATAACTACGTAGGAATTGTGTGGTGTGTACGTAATTGCCCTTTTATTAATTTATCTATTTTCAGTATGATGATAGTTCATGCAGCTTTGATGAGATAAATTCTTGGTTTTTTCAATTCCATTGTTTGCAAAAAATTTTAAAATGAACGGAAAATATATCTTATGAATACTTGATCATTAATATTTGTGTGAAGGTTGGTTAAAATTTGGTTGTTCATTCAATGGGAAATAAATTTTGCACAACTCGGTCAGTGTCACTTAAACAAAGTGATGGATCTAAATTCTCTTTAGAGTTTTTTTTTTTTGCGAGTTGAATAAAATAAATCTGTGTTTTGACTTTAACTTGAGATTTCTTAAATCCATGACAAATTTATGAGATTTAGGAGATTTTACTTGTCCTCTTTTTCTTAACAACGTTGATGTTGCATTGCCTTCTTGCAAGATCCTGATGAGAATGATGATTTTACATACATTTTACATAAAGGATCTAATTGCATGATCTTTTTTATATTAAAAATATTCTTAATTTATATAGATACGATTGTGTATAAATATGTAATTGTTGAAATTCAGAGTAATGCGAAATATTTTTATTGGTATGAAATGAGGTATTAATAACCATTACATAAATCTCCTATAAATACATGGCACTCCTTTTGTTGCCAGAGAAATTGCCCCTAAATTAAATCCAGTTTTTATAATCATATTACTTGTTCTGC